TTAGCTAATTGGTTGCAATTTATATTGGTTTTGTGTGCCATTTAGTTTTGATAGTATAAGGTGTCTTATTATGTGAGCAAAATCAAATATCCCTACTGAATACAAGCTTAAAAAGATTTTGGTATGCATTGCCTGTTTCAGTTAAAGTTTTTATCTATATCCTTGTTATAGACCTCAAACCTTAGAACTTGTCCAAGCGTTCAATTATATGTATAATTGAATAGTTGCCTGGATTTCTACCTTTATTCTGCTATCTTTCTTGTTTATTTTTTGACAATAGTGATGATATGATATGGGAATATCATGATGATTCATTAATATCATTATAATACCACAAGCTTGAGTATGATCCATGCATCACTTTGACACGAGAGTGCCTCATTTGCTACAATCAACTCATGTGGATCTTGCTTATCCTATGGTATTTTCTACAGCCCACAATGTTGTCTCATAGCCTTTAACCCATCCCACTCAAATATGAAAGCTTATGAGCATATTCCTTAGACAAAGTTAAAGCTATTTCAAGGTTCTTTTCTTTATGACCAAGGAATGCATTAAATGAGTTAGTTACCAGTTGTAAAACACTTAATTTCGTAATTCCCTATGCATGAAGGGTTGTTTCATGCACTAGTACTTATTTTGGTGTTTTAGGGTTAGAAAGGAGTTTAGAAATTGATGATATTGACAAAAACTTTCTTGGAGTTCTCTCTTAAATTCTGTATCTCTTGGATGCTTCCTTGAGTGGTGAGTTTTTTGTTATCAGTTTTGTATCCTTGTTTATTATCCTTGAGGTGGTGAACTTTCTGTATCCCTCTGTGATTTTAAACTTGGTGATGAGTTATTTTTCGATTTTATTAAAGTATTATTGTGAGTTCGTTCTTTTTCTATCCGAAAAACTTATTCCAGCAAATACAATTATACTATCGACTTTCTTTCAAAATCTATTCCGCATTACCCGGTATCACACTTGCCTATCGAAGGCCACTCTTTATTAAATTTCCAAAACAATGTTAAGTTATATGCTGGTCGGCCATTTGTCACGGACTTAGCTAGAATTGCCTAAGTCGTGAGGCACCCTTGCGGTAAAGACGCGAACTTAGCTTGCGTTGCCTAAGTCGCGAGGCACCCTTGCGGCAAAGACGCGAACTTAGCTTGCGTTGCCTAAGTCGTGCTTCGCCCTTGCGATTTGCGTCCACAAAGATCAGCCCACTTGCAACCTCTCATAGGTCCTGAAGGACCTGTAAAAGAGAAAGTTGATTAGTTCGAAGAACGAGCGACATACAAGTCCCGACGTCTCGCGAAAAGGGGAAGCTTTACAAGCAATTCAGCGAGCACCTTGCGTGCACAAGAGAAAAGAGGGAGAGGAGGAAAACAAGGACTTTAGAGGGTTGAACGAACAGCTGCAAGTCCACAAACAGCTGCTCATCGGGTGCCGGGCGCGACAACAAGTTCCCGTCAAGGTAACGTGCGAACTTATGAAAGATTGTTCAACGTCCGACGCTATACCGAAGCCCCATCCAGCCCTGTGCCACCTGGGTGGTTCTAGGGTGCTGAGATGGCTGACGTTTCGCGTGCAGCAGCGGGTTGCAGAAATCAGCCCGTGGCACGCGAAAACGGAGCTGTTTTGGGGCTGTTTTGCTTGGTTCGGTGAGCAGTCGCACTGTAGCGCTGCAACTTATTCGAACTTCCATTTTTACAAGCAAAAGGACTTAAAACCAAGCCAAAACATGTTGCCAAGCAACTGTACATGTAGATTAGAGCGACGAACGGTTCGTTGAACGGAGTTGTTGCGGGTACGCGACGACCGTTCGTGACACATTGGCATGATATATACACAAGTCATGCCATGCTTGTTATATTCACATACACATTCACGTGTCACTTCACTGCTAGCATTGAATATGAATGCAGGATGATAGACAGTTCTATATATGTTTCAAACTGTTATAAATCTCAAAACCAAAAAACATATCATTATTAGCTTTTTAAATAGGTTCTTTATTAGTTTTAATACATCTAACCTATAACAAGGAGTAGCCTGTTTCCCTAACTGGGCTATACTGAACTGGTTCCTTTACATTGAGTTAAAGCCTCATTGCTTTGCTTACTTCATAAAACTTATCCACAGGGCTTGCTTATTTTGCCAAGTGAACTTTTGGTTTAAGTTACCTGAGTTCTTGCTTTTGGTTCACTGGAAATTGATTGGCCTTGAAGGTGGAGTTCCAAGAGGCAGAAAATTTAGAGAAAATGGACTTTTGGTCATTAGAACTCTCAAGTCATCAGAACAACCTTTTCCTCCTTTTTTAGGCCACCAGCTCCAATATGTCAGCAGAATGGCTTACCTTGTCAAGTTTATGGGTTGTTGGATATGAATCATTTGAATTGAATGAGTAAATACCCAACTGACTTATCAACAGAGAAACTTTAGTGGATAGTATGAAGAAAAAGGCATTTGTAGAGTTTGCTACACATGTGAATGTACTGATATATTCCATTTTTAGCAGCAGGATTATAATGAATATATGGAAGCATTACCAAATTAAATATATGTGATATTTCAAAGAGTTATGCTTGAGTATTTATGAGTTCACCTGTTTATATGTTGCTTTCTTATTTTGTTCCATTAGCTTATTCAGGTAGGAACTTCGGGAGAAGGACAGGTCTCGCAAGGCACTTCTGAACAGCTGAATAGTACAATAGAAGAAGACAAACCTGTGACTGAAGGAAATCTTTGTTCCGTTACTCACCCACAGGAATTATATTCTGCACTATTGGGTGGAAGTTTATTTGACAATGACGAGGATCTTCTCTCTTCTGGTCGAAAGGAATCTACTGATGTTTCTACTTATGTTGGGGAATCAAATTCCTGGTGGACAGGCATAAAAGGTGATGAGCTTGTTGAATGTGCTCATTCCTTGAGCATTCATGGAGCTTTTGGTAATTCTGATCAATGTCTTATGGCCTCTGTAGGAAAAGACAACTCAATGTGCAGTAATGAGGAAGAAAGTGGCCAGCGGGCTCCTTGGCAAGTTGTTAACTCTGACGAGTGACAAAAGCCGACTACAATCAAACCAGAAGACAATGTATCATCTTCATTAGCGGCTATCGGTGGTGAGATTCTCTCTGACAAGGAGTCATGCAAATTAGATGCTGATGTCTCCGAGAAGGATAAGATGCATACTTCATCGGCAATGCAATCTAGAGGATAATGATTTAACCTCCTTGGTAGCTAGCTGCAAGGACAATCTCTCTGACAAAAAAACATGGGAATCAAAAGGCTAGGGATGAGAGCCGGAGGTTGTCTTCACGGAAATTAAAAGGATGATGAATTGTCCTTATTGGCGGCTGGCTATGGTGACATTTTTGACTAAATAGGGATCCAAGTGAAAATGATCACAACATTGCTGGAAGTTTGCAAGGTTAAACATTTAATATTAGTTCAGATTCATTGCAACAAGTATGTTGTATTTCGATAACCATTCATTGTCAAAGTTTGCGAGTAACCTCAGCTAGACATGAGTAGGAGCCATCGGGCATATTATGTGCCTGATGACGACTGGATGAAGATTAGTGATGTCCTAAAGATTTGACTGTACTTGGATCTCATGCAATAATTCTATGTTGATTGGAAATGATCTGTTTTATTGCTTGGAAAAGTTGGTTTTAAGGATGCCAAATGCTGCAATCTGGCCAGGCTATGTAAATCACCTGCTTTCTAATCTTTTATTAGAGTATTGCTTTGCGGAGGGATGTCGTCATCTCTCTCCGTCGCGCAGACAGTCTTCCCCTTATGTGAGGTGAAGGTGAGGTCAGCTGTGGTCTGCCCCGCGATTGAAAAGGCTGAATGACGTTAATCGTGATTTAATTCACAGCATATAATAATTTATCCCTACAGCTTACGGCATATATGTATTGGATTTATGTTTCGGTTGTTTTGTAGCATTTTTTTTTTAAAAAACAATTCTCGAAATGCTTTTAGGTAAAGAAGAAAAAAAAAGTTTAATTGTTCATTAAATACTTTGTATCTTTTAAGTCTTGATGGGTCGTGAGAAAACATTTTGAGTGTCGTTATCATTTTCCTATTCTATCTAGAATGAGAAAAAAAAAAAAAAAAAGAGTGGTCAATTATGAAGAAAATTTATAGTTTGATCAGAATATAATCTTCCTTCATTAACACATTGAAGAAGTATTGAATGTAGACTGTAACCCATATCCACAAGCCTATGTATCATTCTGAGCTGAGCTCTAACGTTAACGAAGTCATTTACAATGTTACTGTTAAGAGTCATGGTGGTTGACGACTCTCAACTTTTACCTTATTGGCGGCTCGAGCGGGCACATGAATTGAACCTGACGTAGTCTCGTTCTCAAAGGCATGCAACACCTTTGAGAATATTCTCTTTCAACAGAATTTTCTCCGCTCCTTCCACGGAAGGCGGCCAAGTCAAAACACGTCGCCACCCGATCCCAGCAAAGTCAGGTCCGGAATTCACCCTTCGTCTCCGTTTCCCATTCTGCACCACCCACCTCTCTCTGTCCCTCTCCGTCTTGTTTGGACACGTGAAACGAAGAAGCAGACACATCGCCCCTTGCCACGATTATTATTGTACCTATCCCCCGCTCGTTGAAACTCCTCGTTATTGTTTTCCACATTGAACATGAACATTTGGTTCCTTGCGAAATGCACAACAGGTGTCGGTAGTAAGTCAATCTTGGCGTCCGGGACGGACGCACAAGGCGAGGGAGACGAGAGTTTTGCAGGGGTTGATGTGGCTGAGTGCGCGTCTGTCTGGGGTCCACGTTCTCCGTGAGAAGTAGCTTCCCGGTTTCCAGAACAGGACTCTCCCGAGGTCTGTGGTTCGATGTCCCACTTCGAAAAGTTTCAAGAATCTCCTCGGAGAAAACGTGTGGTTGAAGTCGCTGAGCCGGAAGCACACCACCACCCCCCCCCCGGTTATAAATCCGGGGGCTCTCTCCGTCTCCCCGTCTCATCTGCTCGTTGCTCGTCGGTCTTCTTCCTACCTACGGACAGCCGGTCTCACCTTGTTGCTCTCGTTTTTTTCTTGATGTTTCCTTGAGGCGAGGTTGCCATCGACCTGACGTTTTGAAAGTTTATTATGATAAAAATGAGAGCTTTTCGTGGCATGAATTTTCTCTCTTTTGTTTTCCCAATTTGTTTGGGAGAATGCCGTGTGGGCTTGTTTGGGTTCTACCGGTCGCCTGTGCAACCTTTTTTCTGATGAAAAGTACATTGCAGCATCTTACGATAAATTTAGTTTGACACCTGAGTTTTTCCTCCTCCTCTTGTTTTTCGATAGTGACATTACATAGGGTGAGGTTTCTTGCTTATTTTTTCGGTTCACGTGCAACTTTGTTGCTCGGTGCCCGAACCAGCCGTCTCCTCTTTCCCGTCCGATAGGATCTGTTCTAGCGGACTGTTGTGCGGCTTTGCCTGTAATTAATTGCTTTATCATATTTATCATAAGTAAAAGGGAGGGGAGATGTTGTTTCGACGACCGTCTTGAAATATTAGAATGTTTGGTGATGATGATTTAATTATGCTTGTGATCTATCTTGTTGTTTGTTGGCTTTGCTCATATTGCTTTCTTTTGCTTCTACAGTCTGTGGCTGCTGTCACCACCAAAATGTTACTATCTAGGATTGCCAAGACTGCATTCAGCCAGTCGTCTCAGGCCGCCAGAATAGCCGCCGGAAACCACCACATGGGGCTGCTCCGCAAGGGCTTTCCCGCTGCTCCAACCTACCACACTTGGCTTCGGGACGTTATCGCCAGCGGTAACGGCGACCGTTCGTCTCTGCTCCGCCCGGCTGATGTCTTCAGAGTCAACAGCAGAGGAATCGGCCACACCCCGCATTTCCAATATCCTTCCGCCGAAGCAGTTCAGGATGATTTGTACTCGGGGGCTGATGACGCAAGGGTCCCAGGATTGGAGCCTACGAAAGCCGGCGAGAAACCGAGGGTGGTGGTTCTTGGCACTGGATGGGCTGGCTGCCGCTTCCTTAAAGGACTGGACACGAAGCTCTATGACATCGTGTGCATATCTCCGAGGAACCATATGGTTTTCACTCCCCTGCTTGCTTCCACCTGCGTTGGGACCCTGGAATTCCGCTCCGTAGCTGAGCCTGTCAGCCGGATCCAGTCTGCTCTCTCCGGAGCCCCTAATTCCTACTTCTACCTGGCGTCTTGTACAGGAATCGACACCCACAAGCATCAAGTAGGAAACAACTAATTAGCAGGGACAGAGTTTTTATTTGTTGCCTTGCTATCGAGCTCATCCGATCGTTGGGTCTTGCAGGTGTGCTGTGAATCCGTTTCAAGCGCTGGCCTACCTGATGAGCCGTACCACTTCAAGGTTGCTTACGACAAGCTGGTCATTGCGGCTGGTGCGGATCCTCTAACTTTCAATATCAGAGGAGTAAAAGAACACGCGATGTTTCTCCGTGAAGTACAACATGCTCAAGAAATACGAAGAAAGCTTCTTTTGAACCTCATGCTCTCGGAAGCTCCAGGTAAGCAATACGAGGTGCTGTGATTTGTCTTCTTCCCGCAGAATCAATCACAAGGGAGAACCTTCGGATTATAATAATAATAATAATTATTATTATTATTTGAATGCCAATTACTAAAAAAAGTTGGCTTTCTGTACTGATCGAAGAAACTTAGTACTCGATTGTTATGTGAAACGACAGGCATATCAGAAGAAGAGAAGAAGCGGCTCCTACACTGTGTTGTCATCGGAGGAGGCCCTACCGGAGTAGAGTTCAGCGGGGAGCTGAGTGACTTCATCATGAGAGATGTCCGCCAAAGGTTTTCTCACGCGAAGGATTATATTCAAGTTACTCTTATAGAGGTACGTGCAATCTTCGTATACATGCTAGGCAGGAGCTCGTGATGGTGCCCGCTGGCTGATTTTTCTTTTTTGTTTCCTTTGTGGGGGTTGGTTGAGCAGGCAAGTGAAATACTATCATCGTTCGACGTCGGATTGAGACAATATGCAACGAATCACTTGACAAAGGTAATATGTTCATGATTTCAATGAATGCTGCCAGGTAGAAATTTGAAGACCGATCGATCGAGCGTTTCCTTGTGCAACAGTCGGGAGTTCGGCTTGTGCGAGGCGTTGTGAAAGAGGTGCTTCCGGAGAAGATTCTTCTGAGCGATGGAACTTGTGTGCCGTACGGTCTGCTTGTCTGGTCCACCGGAGTTGGGCCCTCCGAGTTTGTCAAATCGCTTGACCTTCCCAAGTCTCCGGGTGGAAGGTGAGATGAACTCCATACATTAGATTCGCCATGCTTTTCTTTGCTGTCAGCGTGTATAGGCTTCACATTATACATAACGCATGGACAATCTCTGTGCAGGATTGGTGTTGACGAGTGGCTTCGTGTTCCCTCCGTGGAGGATGTTTTTGCACTCGGGGACTGTGCAGGTTTCCTGGAGCAAACGGGAAGGCCAGTGCTTCCTGCTCTGGCTCAGGTCAGCTTCCTTGGCTTACTCTTTGCACCACACACTAGACCTTGTGGTGATGTAGCATCGCTCGATTATAAGTGGTTCAAGATCGTTGAAACTACTCTCAGCCCTCGGACCTCATGCGTCCTGCAAACTGCAGGTTGCCGAGAGGGAAGGCAAATATCTGGCTAATTTGTTCAATCAGATGGGCAAGCAAAATGGTGGCAGGGCGCACTGTGCCAAAGACATTCCTCTGGGTGATCCCTTCGTGTACAGGCACCTAGGAAGCTTGGCGTCTGTCGGGCGCTACAAAGCATTAGTGGATCTAAGGCAGAGCAAGGTGCTTTTACTCATGCCGCCATCTTGATACGCCATGAAAGAAGCTGTATGACGCTCAAGTTTCTCTCTTGACATTGTTCCACAGGATGCAAAGGGCATTTCCATGGCTGGGTTCGTCAGCTGGTTTATTTGGCGTTCCGCCTACCTGACTCGTGTGGTAAGCTGGAGGAACAGGTTCTACGTCGCAGTCAACTGGGCTACCACTCTTGTATTTGGTAGGGATAACTCCAGAATAGGTTGACTTGAGGCTGGTATCGGAGGCGGAAAGACATGCCGTCGACGCGACTCGACTCGACTCTCCTTTTTCCGGTAGAGCATATATCTTCAGTGTCGTCGCCGCTATGTTGCTGCTGCCTTATGATGATGATTCACCACTCCCAGTATCCGCTGTTTTCTCTTTAGTTAGGGTCGTCGTCGTCTAGTGATGCCCCACGACATACATATTTATATATTCGTTTATGAATGGTGCCCATTTGTTGATGATTCCTTACAAACCGTGTGGTCTTAGTGGTGATTCTTTACAACCGTGTGGTCTTAGGTTTCGGAGTCCAGAAATAACTTGGATTCTTATGCATCTATAAGGCTTCTATCACACTTTTATTCTATTGTTTTCAAAGTCTTGAAATTATAATTTTGACTGTACAAACAATATATTTTATTTTTCTTTCGATTTTACGTTTATTTTTTTCTACGATAGTTCTCTCCTCTATCAAAACTTTCATCCAAAAGATGGTATCGAATCGATGGATCATCGAACCCAAACTCCATACATATCACCTAATAACTAGGTAGGTTGATTATGCCAATCATGAGGCTTGGACGATCAACCTTCGATCATGTCTTCAAATCCAACCATTGCAAGCTGGCCACGTTTAGCCATCGTGGTCTTCGGTGGTCAGCCCGTCGGTTATGTATCACCACATGATAGTCATTCCTTATCATCACTAACCCTGTCCCGTCTCTTTGGGGTTGTTAGAATGCAAGGCTATCGAGTCATGGTGCTGCTAGCTTTAATGGAAAGTTTGTACATTAGCTATTTGATCTTGTGTCATCGAGATGAACATTCAGCGTGTGTTATCAAAATACACATCTCGCACGTAGGTTGCTCATCGTTGAAATACATGCCTAGCCCATAGGGTGTGTATCGTCAAAATGCATGTTTGACTAATAGGTTATGTGTCATCAAAATGTATGTTTGGCTCATGGGCTATGCATCATCAAAATGTATGTTTAGCCCATGGGCTATGCATTGTCGAAAATGAATGTTTGGTCCATTGGTTGTGCATCATCGAAATACATGTTTAGCCCATAAGTTGTGCGTCATCGAAATATATATTTGGCCCAGAGGTTGTGTATTCGATCATTCAACCGAAGGCCTTGTGTTCAACCATTGTGCCCGGAGGCCTTGCGTTGGATCATTTGGCATGTAGGCCTCGCATTCAGCCATACGATTATTTGACTTATATGCCGTTCGACCAAGGTACATGCTCAGCATGTGTCGAAATCAAATCACCCCTCTCTTGTGGGATTTGGCAGATAGACTTGTATGTACTACCTTCACCTCGATCTCTAATGGACACATTGATTTGATTGCCCGATGAATCTGGCTAAATCCAATCTTTGTCGATTCGATTGAAACAACATGCCAACAAAAATAACCCATAAAAAAAATAATAAATATAAATTATAAATTGATAAAATTTGGAGATTTTTCAACAAAAAAAATCAAAATTTTTTCAATTCAAAGTGTCGGCAGAAAATTCAACAAAAAAAATGATAACCCACAAGTGGAACATTAAACAACGGTAGCTTCCGAATGCTGTAATTTTGTCGACAGCACTTGAGACATTTAGCGCAGTGGCTACCGCTGCCGACAAATGGCATGTTCCCTGTGTCGAGGAGTCACTTAATTCATGGTTGATCCTAAATAAGAACGACCCACAGGACAAAAACTAAATAGGACCGATGGCTTTGGCCACTTTCACTACCTCTGTATGTCTTCTTCCCTACACACGACGCGACTGACACGCCTATGGAATCCAATGATGACGATGACGCGAGGCTCACGAGAAGGGAACCAAAAACAACAAGGACGCGGGGCGAGAAGGGAACCAAAAACACATGATGCCAAAGGTTGTGTATTCGATCATTCAACCGAAGGCCTTGTGTTCAACCATTGTGCCCGGAGGCCTTGCGTTGGATCATTTGGCATGTAGGCCTCGCATTCAGCCATACGATTATTTGACTTATATGCAGTTCGACCAAGGTACATGCTCAGCATGTGTCGAAATCAAATCACCCCTCTCTTGTGGGATTTGGCAGATAGACTTGCATGTACTACCTTCACCTCGATCTCTAATGGACGCATTGATTTGATCGCCCGATGAATCTAGCTAAATCCAATCTTTGTCGATTCGATTGAAACAACATGCCAACAAAAATAACCCATAAAAAAATAATAAATATAAATTCTAAATTGATAAAATTTGGAGATTTTTCAACAAAAAAAAATCATTTTTTTTCAATTCAAAGTGTTGGCAGAAAATTCAACAAAAAAAAATGATAACCAACAAGTGGAACATTAAACAACTGTAGCTTCCGAATGCTGTAATTTTGTCGACAGCACTTGAGACATTTAGCGCAGTGGCTACCGCTGCCGACAAATGGCACGTTCCCTGTGTCGAGGAGTCACTTAATTCATGATTGATCCTAAATAAAAACGACCCACAGGACAAAAACTAAATAGGACCGATGGCTTTGGCCACTTTCACTTCCTTCGTATGTATTCTTCCCTACACACGACGCGATTGACACGCCTATGGAATCCAATGATGACGATGACGCGAGGCTCGCGAGAAGGGAACAAAAACACGTGATGCCAGCGACTGAAGTAGAGCCGGTGGGATATCAATTTTGTTTTTGTTTTTTATTTTTTGTTTTTTCCCACTCGATTATGTTTCACTATTAATTAATAAGAATATTCATCCTAATTCTTTTTAATCAGATGGGGTTCCTAACTAGAATTACCAATGTCATTTCTTTTCTTTTTTTTTCATAACTTATCCATTCTAGACTACGGTTTTAATTGTTCCTCTATCCTAAATTATCTCTTTTGTTCTCCCCATTTTATCTATCTAGTGATACCCTCCCTCCCTTTGTCCAATGAACAAGCACCATGGATCTTATGATCAAGAAGCACAAAATCTAGTAAAGGCAACGTGACGGAGTGTTGGAGACATCAATCTATTCCATAGGGAAGCTTTCCGTCTTTTAACTTTTGACATTTGTTCAAATATAGTCATTGAATTTCTATCCTTGTTCCTTAGTCCTTATCATAAAATCTTTCCTACAAGAGTTTTGGAATCACAATATCTCACGAGACTCAAACTCCATATAATAGAGAAAGTTTATATTATTACATTTGAAATTGAACTAAGTTATATTTGACTATAAATTTATCCCGAAAACATATATATATAATTAATTATATTAAAAAAATACTAAAAAATATGAAAAAAAAAATTCAATTGCATAACTATATTTAGTGTATTAGATACCCATGGTTAAAGTTTCATGTGGTTTAAAAAATGTTTATCTCGTCACACTAAAAAATAAATCAAAATATACTTGAGTTGAATACTACGTATCACTATCTCAAATTCTGACATAAAATATCCATAAAATATATCCAAATAATTAATGTATTAGTACTTATATTTGACTTTTATGATAAAGATTTTGGTGGAGTGGAGAAATTTATCATTGCTACACTTGAAAATGAATTGATTTACAGCCAAATATAGATTCATCATGAAAACATGCAAGATTTGAAATAAGAAACCCCTAAAATAATTAAAAAATGATGGAGCATGTATTTGTATCATATTTTACTTCTTTTGATAATTATTTTCGATGATTTGAAGAAACTTCATGTTGTTACACTCAAAAAATAAATTAAAATACTCTCGATTATAAATTTACCCTTAAAATGTATTAAATCCAACATTAAATACCCATAAAATCATCCTAAAATGAAAAAAAAAGATAGGATATTGGTATCATATATTACTCAAATGATAAAAGTTTTAAGTACTTTAGAGAACTTATTTTGTTATAATAAAAAAATGAACTAAACTATTCTTGACTGCTGATTCTACCTAAGGGAGTGTAAAATTCGACAAAATATTCATAAAACTGTCCTAAAATGTAAAAGTCACTGTAAGGAATATTAGTATTGTATTTGACTCTCATGGTGAAACATTTTGGTAGCTTTAAGAAACTCTATTTTGTTACACTTGAAAATAGACTAAAATACAATGATTCAACTTGAAAATATATTAAAATGGACATATAATCATCCTAAAATGGAAATAACATTTAAGTATTATATTTGACTCCAAAGTTTGGTTGGAGTAGCTTCATCTTATTACACTCATCAACAGATAAAAATACACTCAATTATATATTCTTGCTGAAAACATGTAAAATTCGACATAAGATACCTCTTAAATCATCATCAAATAATAAAACCACTAAAAATAGTATTAGTATCATATTTGACTCCTATAATGAAAGTTTACAGTGGTTTAGAGAAACTTCATGTCATTACTAAAAATAAAAAATAAACTACACTTGACTATAAATTCAACCAAAAATAACACCAGATTTCAGGTTAAAAAAAACGTATAAAATCATCCTAAAATAAAAATAAAAAGCATATTAGTATCATATTTGACTCATATTTTAAAATAGCCATAAAATCATTCTAAATTTTTTTTTAAAAAATAGAAAGAGTATTAGTGTCATATTTTACTCGTAAGTTTCATGTGATTGGAAGAAACTTTCATTTTGTTACGCTTGAAGATAAATTGAACTACACTCGACTATAAATTTTTATTGAAAACATAACAAATTCGATAGGATATTCCTGAATAGAAAATTTTAAAAATGATATTGATATTATATTTGACTTCTTCACTTTAAAGTTTTCAAAACATATCATACCTTAAAGTTTTCAATACATTTGATGAAAAAAAAATAAATTAGGATGATTTCTTCGATAAATCCTCCAAAGAAACAAAAGGTAAAAGAGGGTAATCTACCCAAAAGGTCATCTGCAATCAATATTTAGCTAAGAGTGCCCCTTTATTCAATATTTACCTAGGGGCATCCTGATCTACTCAAATACCCAAAAGTTGATTAAACCATCTGTGTAAATAAATCAAACTGATTTATCTACCAACAAATTGGACTTCAAAATCCATAATGTTATGCTTCGATTGTGAAAGCTTGATGTGAGTTGAGCAAGGTTAAATGAACTATGCTACACTTACAAAATTAAGATGAAAATATTAAAATAGACTCTAAAAGTACTTAAAATTATGATTTTTTTATAATTATTATCTTAGTGTCGACAAATGATCTGACCCAGAATAATTAAGACTTGCAACCTTGTTATT